GTATCTCCTATTTCCTATCAAAGGAAATTAAGGCTGAGGGAGATGAAGTGCCTTGACCAAAAACTCATGGCTAATATGTTTCTGAGCTGGAATTAGACTCCCAGGTTTGAACTGTGAGACAAAGCAGTATCCAGTTTTCTCGACAATAACAATTTTACGCAGTGGTGTGTTACAGTATTGAAGTCCTATTCATAGCCATTGGCCTCACTGCTCTTTCTCATAGGGAGAGTTTTCAGGATAATGAATATTTAATATGTTGTTTCTCTGTAATCTTGATCAAAATTGTAACACCAAGACCTTCCAGCAAAGGGCAATCAGGAAGTGAGACATTCTGTGTTGCAAGAATTGTCCATTCTCTAACTATAGGGAGGAAGTAGGAGGGGAGCTGTTGCATTGTGGTTAATTGTAATCAAAGTCATTGGACAAATTGTATGTGAAGTGCTGTATGGAAACTGAATTTGCCCTATAAACTTTCACCCAAATCACAATTTAAAAAAAGAAAAAAAAAAAAAAAAGAATTGTCGATTCTCTCCAAAAGTATCTTCAACACACATATGGGATGTGACCTGCCCCTGATTTTAACAGGAAGCAACTTTCCCAAGCATTTCATGGTCCTTTCCTCTTTTGTCCTTGAGGATAAAAATATGCCGGTGTGGATAGGTACAAGAATTCTTATGTTATTTTTGCACTTTAATCCTCATACTTTTTCTCTCCAAAATGAATTTGAATCACAGGACAGTGGTCACAACCATGTTCTAAGAATTGGGTAGACAAGCAGAATTGCAATGAATGACTGAAGGTTACATTTCCAGAACACAGCTGAACACCCGCTGTCTTGACTATTGCTCCCAAGACAGCTGTGCTCTGCTCTACCACAATAGAACTGCCCATGAACTTCCTGCCGTTCTACTTCAACCTCCCAATTTCCCCACCTCAGGGCTGATGCATGGTTGAGCTCAGCCCAGGCTGACGCCATTATGGTCTCAGCTCGTCTACATGCAGATGCTTTCATAAAATTTCTTTCAAAACTCTAGTGGCCTAAACAACCTAGATGTCCAACAACTGAGGAATGGATAACCAAACTTTGGTACATTCACACAATGGAATACTATGCAATGCTAAAGAATAATG